GCCGCGCCGGTTACGTTCTTCGGGGTGCTTCGTTCCTGCGTTTCCTACGTTCGACGGCGCACCCATAATTACGGCATTCGGTGCCGTTTGTGTGCTTCTCGCCGATAGCGCTGCGGCCCCTCCGCGCTGGCGCCTGCGTAAGTTTATTGCTGGGGTCCCGAGACTCGATAATGATACCCTGCGTTTAGCCGGGGATCAGTCGAGTCAGATATTTCTTGGATTCAAAGGATTTAGGCTTTTTGAGAATTTGTTTTTTCACGGAAGTTCGGGGTGGTAATCCTGGATGAATTTGGAACGTCTGGGCTAGCAATTTTTGTGAATAGAATTGTTGGTGATGGGAGTTTTGTGGGAGTTTTGTGCAGTCAAGGGTTGATAGGAAGGATAACATCGTTTTTTTCTAATCAGTGTATTCTTGTAACATACTTGATAGGCCCCCTGGCTCCCAAGAACATTGTTGTTTTTTAAACTCTTCTCATAGACACGGATAAATGATTCTATTAACTGGGACTAGTGGTTATAAATACTCAGAATAAGTAGAACATAATTCTACGCGCAGTTTACAGAGGTCTGCAAGAAAGAGCAAGGTATGAGCTATCTATACGATTTCCGTTTACATTATTTTCAGCATACCAAGACTGCTAACGTAGAAGAGATTTTTCTTCAATGCCTCTCGATAGTGAAAATCCCTGATAATCATCTATAAACACTTTCCATTCTATTCTTTCAGCTGAAACGCTAGCAGACCAAGACATTCGGAACCGGATGCGAGACGAAACGATCAATCAAAGCGAGGAAGGTTCCCGTCGGATTTCCGTCGTCGCGTCCGTGATTCCGGTGTAACCCAGATAATAAATTTTCCCATCTCCGCGAGGCGGCTCGCCGGGGACGGGTAACGTATCCACGTTGGCGAACACGTGTAGCCGATTATTGCCGGGGTAACGAGTCCGGAGTGAATCCGAGAAGCGCCACGCGAAACATTCCAGCTGGCGCGTTGCGTGGGCAGCCGTCGAACGAGCATACCGATGCATGCCGAGAGAGAGAAAACGGCCGAGCAGGATCGGTCGTTTAAGCGAATTAATACGCGATAGAAATCTAATAAGAGCCCCTGGCACCCGGCATAATAAAATAATAAAACTCCACGGGTCATTAAGAACCAAGAATAATAGCAGATTGAGATAGCGATCACGGGGCATAATTCACGCGGGCCAGTACTACCGTATGAGACTTTCATTCCTTATTATTATCATACCGCGATAATATCGCTACCATCCGACGCGGCGCCTATTTTTATCGCGATAATTAATACGGCTCCCCCTTTTCTTTCGATGCGGACGTGCACCATGCGCCTCGCGGCTCGGGTCGCCGCTTGCTCGCGCGCGCGCGCGATAAGGTATGAGGAACTGGTATAAAAAGTGAAACGTACGCGACGTGTTAAATTGCAAATTGTATTTACGTTACGGTAATCGTTTCCGATCTGGAGAATCTACGCGCCGGATCGTCATTACGACTCTGTTTGCCGGGCTTGCGCAACCCGCGGAATTTGAAATATCAGCAGTCTGAAACGTAGCTGGGTTCCATCGGGGCGGTTTCGCTGGATGGAATCTGGTACCCAGAGGAAATTAATTAGCGAGCCTCTTAATCCTGGAAGGGGATTAACTAAGAAGGAAATAGGTCCTAGGAGAGGCTAATTAAGAGACTTCCTTATCCTAGAGTGGATTAGCATGGCATCTAGAGACTTAGAGCGAATTCATTAGAAGGCTTCTGGATCCTAGAAAGGATCAACTGGGAAGGATTTAGGTGTGGATAATTAAATGGCTTCTGCGTCCCACAGTGGATTAGCTGATAGGCCTAGTATATAGAAGGAGCTAACTAGACTCCTAAGTTCTAAAGGAGGTTAACCGAAATGTTTCTATATTCTAACGGAGTCATTTAAAAGAAAGAGCCAAGGGAAAATTAACGTAGGGTCATCTAATATGTAGTAGAGGCAAATGAAGAGTTTTCTAAATTTTAAAGAAAATTAACTAACAGTGGCAAGAGGACAGAGCCTAGAAGATTTAGCAGGAAGCCTAAGTTCTATAGGGGATTATTCAGAAGGAGAAGGGGATTATTTTAAGACCTGCGTATGACTATCTCCCTTGTTACGACCAATTCGTAGGACTATTACACATGAAACTTCATAATCAAATGATCATCATACTCATCAAATAGGGGACCGGTGTTCGGCTCGATATTACGGAATGTCCCACCAGATGCATAAGCTGGTCGTGTATGCGGCAAATCGTAACGGTGTGCGCCCTGCCTCCGTACATTGTACCATAAACGACGTGCAGTTAGAAAGCAAGGTTCAGAATTCGCAATCACGGCGACGCGATACGGTTCTTTTTTAACGCTCGACGAAAATAGACGAGTGAATTCCTATCGGCGCGGCGCGGCGATACGCGATGCACGATCATAACGCGCATACCGTGCACTATGCGATACGCGTGTTGCACGCGAATAACGCGCGAAAAGAAGAAAAAATATGAAGGTCGTACGGTGGAATTCCAACGGCGCAATGACACTCCCGCGAGAGAGACCGAGCCGAGGATCAATAGCTTTGTTTTGAAAGCTGCTGGCTGCCTCACCGCGTGGTGCAACCGGACAGGCTTACAGATCTGAAGTGTTCGGGGTTTAACGAGTTTGCTACCAACGTTTGTTTCGGCAACAGACTTCAGAATGATAATATTTTACTAAATCTAACACGCCCTCCTTGGGAAATATTTAGAAAATAGAAAGAAAAATTCAGGAGATTTCTGAGAAGGGATCCGTTGACCCTGGGTGTTTGTTTAAATATATTTAAGTGTATTCGTTTAAAATATTGGTAATGCAAGATTAATTAAATAAGCAATGATTCAAATATAGGAATACATTAGTGAAACTAAAAGTGAATTTAAACTGTTGATACGATTTACTTCGTTCGTCATTTTAACTGACACTTTCCTTTAGAAGCAAGAAATACGCGTTCCTCCTCATTTTATTGACGCTTCGCATCGACGATAACGTGCACAACCTTCGACTTGAATAATCAACTGGACGTAAAGCTGCAGACACTCGATATTGAATAATTGATCCGCGGGAATGAATTTTTCCATCGACCAAGTTTGGACAGGTTAGGTGGCCATAGCTGATTCTAGGGAAACGTCTCGGGTGTTTCTCGTTAGTTATAACGAAGATACTATTTAATTTTAATCCCCGCAAACTCAAATACTTCAGATAGGGGTAGACCGAGGCGAATCGGATCAGTTTAGATTTAACAGCGAAAAATTAATAGTTAAAATTTAGAATCAACATCTTTTTTCATAAATTTCTTATTAATAGACATTCAGCTTCAATATCAGTAAAGAAGAATTTTTAAAACTCAAATATCTTCGTTTTATAAGCAAAAAATTAAAAAATTAGGAATATCCGATTTACTCCAAATTCCGGTCTCGGTCTACCCTATAATGATCTGATTATAAACATAATCGTGGATATGTTCATCCATGAAACTCGTGCTTTTTAGTGGCTGGATCTTGAAACATCCGATTAATCGTCCTCTTACTTTCGAGATTATAGGAACGGTTATCACTTTTCCGAAGTCGAAAGTAACAGCCGGAGCTAACGACAGTAGAATTCGACGGAGGGCGGGCAGGGTAGGTAATTACCGCTAAAAGCTAGGGCTAAAAAGTTTCGGTGGAATTTCATCGGTGAAAGAAGTGACGGCGAATTAATCGGCTGAATTCTAAATCAACTGGATGGCCGGGGAACACCGAGATACTATTCGCTTCTTCTGAGGCTCGGACTGTCGCTGCCACTGCCTCGAAAGTCATTATGAGTTAACATTCCTTGCTCGATAAATCTGCGCCCAGTCCAGCGCCAATGGTACGCTATATCGTAAAGTGCACCTTGCGAGAGAGAACGAACTTGTTATATATTCTAACGTAATACCCATGCGGTAGGTTGCAGAAACCGGCGAAATTTATATCCCATAATTCATTCGGGAATAACGAAATGCATTTTCCGAGCCGAACGGACTTTTCGAAACCGGTGCCGCCGCGCACGCCAATAAATATAGGGGAATATTAATTGCGGCTTCTTTTTATTTCCCGTCCAACATTTATTGATTGCGTCCATTAGTCATGTGCCTCGTAGGTATTTATTCGTGAAAATTGAACCTCATTAGAAGAAAAGAATAGGAATTTCTCGTAGAAATGTCGCTCTCGTTTGGTATCGATTTTAAATTTGATTTTAGTGTCGTTGCTTTTTTATTGAAGATCGCGTGTAATTGATTTGTTACGCGGCTTTTTTGGGTTGTATCTTGTTCTGTTACCGCGAGAAGAATGTTGCTTTCGTTTTTATCTTTTAGAATATGATTTACAAACACTGCATGGCTTCGATTATAATACTAGAAAACAAGAATGGGGCACTTGATTTAGTGTATTGAATATGTAACGTTCAATATCTTTAACCTAAATCTTGGTGTATATCGAATATGCTCCGAGACGTTAACCCTCCTGCGGTCCTCGGTTTAGATCTGTATTTCAAGTAACACGTGTAATGGCAATAATTTCCTCGTAAATCTCTGGAATACAAAAATAGGGACATTGTGACATCGAAAAAAATAAATTGGATATCCAGAAAACTACCTTCAAAAAATATATTTTCCTGAGATCGTAGAAATTAGTTTAACAACCAGGTTAAGCTTTCAAAATTTGTTCAAACCACGGTTTAAGAGTTAAATCAGACGAACATCACCTACAACATATTCCAACCGACCACTACCCGATACCCTAATCTCAGACATCAAGCCAGCAATCCCAAAAATGAGAAACAAATCTCCCAAACAGCTGGACTCCATTTCCCCATCCACCAAAAGGTAAACAGTCGCAGTCCAGGGGTTTCGGGGAGCATGAGTGAACAAACCGCATGTTCTTCCTAAGAGGGTTAGGGAGGAATTAGAAGCCGGATAGAAGCTGGTAGAGATGGGAGGTCGTAGAAGGTAGAGCAAGAAACGGAACGGAGAAGAGTGGAAAGGTAGCTTTAGGTGGGAGTCGTTCGAGTAGTTTGCTGGGAGAGAGACGTAGATTGTGCCTGGGAGAGAGAAAGATACCGGAGATAAATAGAAACAGAAAAGCCCAAGGAAGAGCGAGAAGGGAGGTCTCTGAGGGCAAAAGATTGATAAAGAAGGAGTGATAAAACGAGAGAGAGGAGTGAGATTATATAGAAATAGACAGAGAGAAGTCGAGGCGAAACAGAGAAGGATGAAAGGAGAAAGAGATTGCAGACTGGCGTGGCAGCCGACTGAACAAGGAAAGTGAGACGGATAGAGGGGGAAACGTCGCGGATGGAGCGAGACAGCGGGTAAAGAGAGGTTAGGCGGCGCCTGGTATGTGGCGCCTTCACTGGCGTCGGGCCATCTTTTATTCTGCCATTACAAAGCGTCAACACGTATCTCATCTAGGCAAGACAGGGTTGGAGAACCTTACAAACATTCGTGTCCTCTCCCCCCCCATCTCTCTCTTTCTTTCTTTCTTTCTTTCATTCTTTCTTTCTTTCTTTCGGTGCCTGTGTGGCGGTGGCTGTCCTGCGTGTACACGTTTTCACACACGCCTCCGCACACACGCATTTGTCTCTCTCTTTTCCTTAGCGTGCGTATCGCAGACACGTAACACACAATACCCTCTGCGTCCGCCTATTGTCTTTGTCTTTGACTTTGTCTTCGTCTCGAGTCCTTGTTTCCGGAAGAGGATGAAGCAGTGATCACGGTTAAGCAAACTGTGACGCGTTTTAAGGATTTATACGAATGGTTTCTCATCTTCCGTTTCGTCGATCGACCGGTATGAATGGATCCGATTTTCCTTGCCACGCCTCTAGATTGTTTTTCTTATTACTCCGAGTTTGGATGGTGAATTCGTGTTGGTCCTTCTTCTTTGGAGATCGTTTCCTTTTTTCATTTGCAACGTTTGTTTTATTTATTTTTGTTTTGAAGATTTTAAGTTTTTTGTTAGAATGTTGGTAATGGAATCGATCGTCCTTGTGTTTTGACGAATGGGTAGTTTTACCGTTGAACATGTTTGGTTCTATTTTTTTAACAGGTTTCTGAAGTGTAACTTTATTATTTTATCTATACTATTTAATCCCTATTTGTTTTTTGCAAATACGTTCTCTCCTTTTTTTGGTAAGTAATGTACTTAATTAACAAACCGCGTTCAAGCCACTAGGGTTTAGGTTTACACACAACGATCCCGCTGTTATTGTTTTTACCTCGTTTTTGCTATCGACACTTAATTAGCTGACGCACTACTTTTTGCGCAATAAACACGCTTTACGATTATTAATACTTCGCGAAGTGAGTTCTAAAGTGGGCACCACGTAAAATTGATTGTCGGTCACGTTTGAGCATGTGTCTCGCCGTGCGACAGCCGAGGGTTAACTGTTCAATGTTTTATAGCTCACTTTTTTATTAACGTAACTTAGAATGGAATATTTCTGTTGAATTAATTTCATCTGTCCCTCCCATAAAAGATCTTTTTTTTTATTTCTCGTCTTAAAAGATTTATTGCGATTCCACGTAAGGTATCGTGCTCAAAATAGAACGACTATCGAATCAATTAAGCCTGTTTTCTTTATAAAGTCTCGCTTTATCGTTTCGTGGCCCGAAAGATTTATTATAGTTTCTTTACCAGGAATTATTCGTGATCCTCGTCTTTATTTCCTGTTCGCAACAACAAAGAGCGCTAGTTTTTGCCCCGACGTCAACGCGCTTCCTTAAATCTAAGATTATCCTTCTACCCCCGATTCGTGCGTTGCCCATTCTCTGAAGCGAACCTCGCCGAGCACCTGTTGCTAATTCATCTCGAACATATTAAATTCAACCCGAGCGAATCAACAGCAATTTCCGTCGTGCAATAATCTTGGCGGAGTCCGTTTCCCGAGAAACTCCAAGCGATGATCGTACACATTTCACCTAACACCGGCTATACATGGTTCACTTGCGCGCAGTTTTGTAACAACGCGTGGGCGTTTTTAATTCAAATGCGACGGCGAGGAGGATCGGCTTCGATTCCTTCGACGATACATCGGCTGTTCATTGCTTTCCCCTCGGGCGTTGAAACTGCCTTTCATTTGTTGCATACGATCTTAATGATGCTTAACATATTACATTTATTCCGAACGAAATGGAAGAAACATCTTACACAACAAAGAGAATAATGAGACCTCTGTCGAATAACATTAACTCTTTTCTAATTTTGCCACCTCCCCTCACAATTTAATTTTCTCTAGAATAAACTCTACCAACCGAAACTATCTCGTAATCTCGATTATACTCTCAAGATTATTATACGTCCATTAAGCAATCAGACGTCTTCATCACAATCCCAATCATTGGAAGGAATCATATCACCACTCCCCAGAAATCTCTGGAAACCATAAAATCATGCAGAATTGCTGAAAATTCCTAAGGAAACTCGCGAAAAAAAAATTCGTCGCTCGGCGAAGACAGGTTGCGTTACGCAACACACACGCGAGACCGCTTCCTCTTCCGCGTTTATTTCAATACTAATCATATTAAGCGTGATGGCCCACCGCGAATGACCATCATTAAAACGGTCCCGCCGCCACTGTTCCGCCGCGTCGTCCTCGACGTGCCAGAATGTTCCTTCGCTACTTTTCTTTCCTTGCTTCTACATTTTTTTTTTAATT